GGAAAGAGTTCACTCAGCTTTTGTGGGAAACTCTCCATTTCCAGTTGTTTGTGCTTGGATGCACGGCCTTCGAAAACGAAACTTCAGTTTTGACTTTGCAGTTTTATTTACCTGGCTGTATATAGTTCAGACAGATCTATAGCAGTCCTGTTTTTCAGACACGGCTTTACAGTGTACACTTCGGTACATTTTGATACTTACTGGAAAACCTAGACAGTGATCAGGATGAGATGTTGATTTCTTTTCCCAGTAAGGCGTCTGATAGGTACACATGCTCTGTCTGGACTTTTTCTTTCTTTCTTTCTTTCTTTCTTTCTTAGGAAATTTGGGTTTATTTATTTCAGCCTCCTCAGTGTCATTGTAGGAGATAAACGGTAGACCCTCAGCATCCTTTATCCTCTGCCTTTGTGCAGTATTAACAAAGAAAGTGCCTACTTGAAGACCAGACTACAGTTTATACGCCAAGAAATTTGCCCTGCCAACTGTAATTATTAACATGCCCAACATTTTCCAGAGATGTTTGTTTTGTTTTGATGCAGACCTGTCAAACCTGTTTGAATCAGGGGTGTCCTTTCGTAGTCAGCTGGAAGTCTGAACCCTCCCCAGCTATGCTGACATTCCTCAAAAATTCCTTGAGCGTTTGTCCTCTGGCTTCTCCTTGTGAGCAGTTCATCATGCCATGTGATAACACTTCTCTCGTCACCTTCTAAATATTCCATATCAGACAAGAAACATCACCATCCTCTAGCATGACTCCTCACAGAGTCGCTAATGGCGATCATCCAAAAACGGAAACACCGCTCCAAGTACAGATCAAGGTTTTCCACTTGAGGGCCTCCCTGGTGGCGCAGCGGTTGAGAGTCCGCCTGCCGATGCAGGGGACGCGGGTTCGTGCCCCGGTCCGGGAAGATCCCACACGCCGCGGAGCGGCTGGGCCCGTGAGCCGTGGCCGCTGAGCCCGCGCGCCCGGAGCCTGTGCTCCGCAACGGGAGAGGCCACGGCAGCGAGAGGCCCACGTACCAAAAAAAAAAAAAAAAAAAAAAGATTTGCCACTTGGAAGGATGAAGTATATCGCAGGTTAAGGGGAGGAATACAGACTGTGTGAGCAATAGCAGCAGATGGATTGAGGGACTTACAAGGCATGGGAGGTGTGGTGTAAGTATCCACTTCTCCCGCCCCTGTTGTCGCCTACTCGTTCCCTATAAGAAGAAAGTTGGGAGTAAATGATACGGGTCTCTTTGAAATAGCCTCGTGTCCAGGTCTGAGTGTCAATCACGTTCCCCCAGGAGAACTCAAAAAGAGATGAAGCCATGCTTGTTAACTATACCTAGTGTAAGTAAGGGGTGCAGATTATTCCTGAAACTCAGGGAGGATGAGATGGCAAAACCTTCACCCTGCCGTTGAGATGCTCCTTTGGTAGATTCCAGATGTCAAGGGTCTCAGTCTAGGAGTGACGGGAGATGACTCTGAACCCTAAGAAAGAAACGTGTCTGTCTATGGAAAGAAACCATCAACTGAACTAGAGTATCCTCATGTTGCCATTGAGAGTTCTACTCATGGGTTCCTTTGGCATTTATTTTCTCAGTTAATTAAAAGCACTTGCCCGTAGTAAGGGCCAACATTTATATAATTGGGAAGGTAAGACCTAGCTTGATAATGGATACTGACCCGCT